CTTACCCTCACCCCGCACCACGTCCCTCCCTGACAAAAAGTTTGGAATAACAAAACACTAGTGTCACATAATGCTGCGATGCTGAGCATGTAAGAGTCAAACACATCTGGTTTTCTTCCAAGCAATTCTTTATTTCTGTAGAATAAAGAAGTATCTACGTGTCTGTGTATCGATCTTTGGCCGGAAACTATCAAAATAAACCTTTTAAGCATCGTATAACTAAATTGGTTTTCATGCTGCATTTGAAATTCAAAAGTCATGGATGGAAGACTACAGTGTTTTTTTAATTTTTTAAATGAGTTTATCTGTTATCCGAGCTCAGATTCAATCAGATCACTCGTCTGACACTTTTAAAAACTCAGTCTGTCAACAAACAGTGGAAACTGTCCTCTGATGTGATGTGATGATCGTATCTGCCAGTTTAAATGCAGCTCGGCTATGAAACAGGAAGCTGAGGCTCATCTACGGTAACTGCTGATGTGAGGTGATAACTGACTCTGGAGATGATGGTGTTTGACAGTATTGTTTATGCAGGGTTCTGTTATTGGTTCATTTCAATTTCATTGCTTCTGTTTAACGATTTATGAACTAAATGATCCACTCAGACTCCAACACCAGGGACAGATAAGATTTCAATTTGATTCACAGCACTTTGTCGATTATAAATCTGTTATTTTATCTTGCTGTTACAAAAAGGGACGGACGTCTTGATACTTGCTTTTCTGTTGCTGCAAGTTTAACGTCACAACATCTTGTTTTACGCTAAAAAAAAACCAAATCATGTGTTTCCATCTGAACGGCTTCGTATTTACTCTTATCTCGTGCTATGAAACCTTTTTAGAAAACAGGTTTTTCAGGTAGCAGGTATCTCATTGCGTCCCCAGCCGCAGTGTTAGACACAGTCACAGCTGAACAACAGCAATAGGCCTCATCAGCATCTGTGGGTGAACGCGTCTATTCTGCGACAACGTCATGACCTTTTCCCTTGAGGACGGACAAACCAACGTTTCCTTTAGACGCTGATGGGCCTCTGCATCCGAGGACAGCCCAGGCCAAACCAATCTGTGCACAATAAGCGAGTGGTGTAAATGTTCTATAACAAGACCATGAACCTTGGTTTTGCGTGTTCCTGCAAAACCACTGTGTTCGTTAAATGATGTGACGTACGTGTATTAAAATAACTAACTGAACTAAGGGAATCAAACGTAAACCAGCCCCAGTGAGTCCAGGGATATCAGTTAACCACCAGGACCACATCCAAAAACAATAAAATAATATAATCATTTGTACACACTTCACAATTCAACAAAAGTTTGTTTTTCCACGATCTACACCGATCTTACACTATGCTTCTGAGGGTCCAGCGTGGAGTGGAGAAAAATCCCAAAGAGGAGGGATAAACTCTGGATACGAGCGTTTCACAAGACCGACATAAAGAGACAATCGACCATTCAATAACACATTCACACCTGTGGACAATTTAGAGTCTCCAGTCAACCTAACCCCATTCTGCATGACCTTGGACTGTGGGAGGAAGCTGACACTGGGAGCTCATGCAAACAGAAAGACCCAGGAAGCATCTTGCTTTGAGGAAACGCTAAATCTTACTGTCAACCAATTGAAAACAAAGCAAGAAGGCTGGAAAGCAGAGGCTGAGGTCGTGTCCTGGAATGACTCTCGCTGGACAAATAAAAGTCAGACAGGTCGGAGACTGATTGCGGCCTCTGGGGAGCTCTGGGAGCTTTGTACTTGACGAGGATCAATTCAGTCATCATCAGTGTCAGGATCGATGAATCCTTCTGACACGTTCATCCAGCTGCTCCGTGTCTGGATCGATCACCTCACTGTTTTAGTGTTAATCTCAGATCACAGACGTCTGTCTCATCTTAATTTGTGTCTGTCGAGTTCAGTGCGGAATCGAGATTTATAGTTTATTTGTGCCACTGTTTTTTACCGCTGTTATTTCTAGTACTGCATCAAAAAATCTATATTTTCTTTACAATCTCTGGATAAAATCTTTAATATTCTCATATCTAACAGGCCCATAACTCTCTGCACTTCTTGGAGGACAAATCTTATCTTAACTCCTGGCTTTATTACTCTGACATCTTGTTTTAACACTTTCCATCAGTGGCAGCCAACAAGGCAATAATGACCTTTTAATTCTGATGTACTAACTTACAGTTTTTCTTTCCTATAGTTGTCAAGAATCAAATCTTCTACATGAATCGGCGCCAACTCAAGCTTATCATTCAGTCTGTACCCACATTTTCTCAGGTTATCTATGTTGTTAATCAATCTGTAATCAATGGCAACAACGGCAGCATAACTCATCTCCTGCCACGTGAGACTCTTTTGCCTTCACACACCAATAAGCAGAGATTTTGAGTCCAGGTTGGATAAATACAATCTGTCCAGGTGATTATTAGACCAACTGGTATTGATTAAAAATCCCATCAGCCTCCCAGTGATGATTATTTTGTTTGGTGAAAAGCTTAAAGCTTTAACTTTGAAACAAAATAATGTTTTATTGTCAAAGAGACACGAGGGAGCGAAGGGAAACAGAGAAGAATCATAAATCCCACTTGGACACAGTAATACATCACTTTCGGTGAGAGTGCGGCTGCCGTCCATGAACTATCTAAATATTCCTTGTAGTTGTTTGTGGATATTTTAAGGGTCAAAAAGGAAACTGAGCCCTGAACCTCTGACCTCTGTGACGTCAAACACTGTCCCGGTGTGACTGTGAGTCCACGGCTCGACTGTAACCATCCACGAGCCGACGGATGTGAGGAGGGGCAAAGTTCTCGTGCTTCAGCCCACGTGTTTCCAGCTCCTCAGGGAAACCAAAGCAGAGTAATGTGTGTGTTCATGTAGAACCACAAATCTGTGAAGTCCAGAGGTGTCAGTGCTCTGTGACGCTTCTATCAATAGACCACCGGGAGGTATATTGAGAAAATGTGCAGGGAAACATGTGGTGGAGGGCAGTCAAATGTTTAAACTACGTATTTCACACGTCAAGAAAAAGTGCAACTCTTAATGGTTTCCATTATGCAAAGGAATGGATTAGTGTTGTTAAACATGAATAATATGCACTGAGGCTAATGTTGAATCTGTCAACAGGGATATTGATCGTCGTTAGTTGCAGATATTTTCCTTCATTGACTCTGCTGCTCCTCAGGCTGAATTCTGAATCACTCATTTTCATTTTATTTAGCTCAAAACCTTCGACCCCACAAATAATTTGATCTAGAAAATCTCAACTCTTGCTTCACACTGATAAAAAGAAAACATGCTCATTGTGTTTCTAACGTTAATCACTTTTATAAATATAGAAATGTGTCACATGAGCAGTTTTACCTGAATATCTTATTTGAGTTACAACACCCCCCTGGTTGCTGGCTGCAGAATCTTCTATAAATCCTCCATGTTAGCAGATGGGACATGGCCCAAACTAAAAAGTCAAAGTACACATTAAAAAACAATGTCCACAAAACACAAAATCCACAAAATTAAAATGCTGTCAGGTCACAATATTCAGCATCGTTGATAATGTGCGGCGGATTGAGTAACTATAATTTAACTTCAGCGTTTCTCTCTCACTGAAAATAATGAGAGTACTCGACTTCCATTTGTGCCGGATCACAATTATAGCTCACGTTCGATCCTCAGTGAGAACTCTCTGGAGGTGGTCCAGCAATTTCAGAGAGGGAATGAAAATGTGGAGTAAAACAGACTTTAATCGATCAGGGACCCCGTGTTGTTGTCAGCTCACTGATCGTTTACAATCAGCTCCATAATGTCTCTGGATGTCAAAACCATTCTGAGTGAAAATGGAACTAATGTTTCATGAAGTTCACACTAACTTAAGGTAAACTGGAAACACTGACAAACATATAAATATGTTTCCAGTTCCTGCTGAACCCAAATAATCCTGCATGTTGTTGAGGTGTGAAATCTACGACTGGACTAGCCAACGCCCGGTACAAACACAATGTTCAACTCTTAACCAATTTTAAATATGTGAGAGACCACAGATATAATGAGAGATTTAACTTAATTTAATATTATAATCGACTGAACTCAGACCACAACGTTCGTAGGAAACGATTTGACAGCACTTTGATTGTAAGTGACTTCAGGATAAAAACAAACATAGAGGAGGATCTACGTCATCAGCGTACAAAACAACGCATAAAGTCAAGGCTGAGAAATAAATAGAGATCAGGGAAATCGGCAGCATTAAGATGATTCTGTAAACCCCTCGAACTTCACACTTGGCCCCTGAAATAGTTGGAAGGGGAGAATCGGCTCTAAAATGGGCCAAGGTGGCGATCAAGATGCTTATTTATCGTGGAGCTGACATGTCGTCCATCTTCACAAGTGATGTAAGGGCCTGGGACTAAAATGAAATGAGGAGATATCAGGGCAAAGTGTTTCCTCCAATAAAAATGGATTGTTTGAATAATAAGCTTCAGTCCGACGTTCACCACAGATAGAATCCTCCAGTTCAGACGAGGGGAGGGAGCATGAGAGGAATGGAGATTAAATATGCAACAGGGCGCTGAGGAGAACATGTTAAACGTCACGCTCTTATCGCTGTGAAACATGTGTTCTATGTTTAGAAATGCTAATAGGTCGGGAGAGTAATGAGGCAGGTCCATGCATTCGAAAGCGACGCCACTGGGAGGAGATAAAGTCTCTAACGCACCTGGGAACAAATCATAGTTTTATCATAATGGACAGCTGACACTTGCCATCTGACCCTGCAGAACATTATTCAGGAAACGTCGGCGCTAATACAAGAAGGATGAATGTTTCCTGCTGTGCTCAGTGAGATTACTGCTGCGGCGGCCATGAGCAGAGATTATAACAAAGTGAGGACAAAAACACAAACAGCAGAGGTGACTTATTTACTCAGGTAGTTGAGGTGTCCTTCCTCATTTTATCCCTTCTGTGTTTTGTTTTCTATGTGATTCACGATGAACGATTTCACTTACTTGAGTACGTGTGTGGATCCGTTGATCTGCGTTGCTGTGCAGGGGGCGGCGGAGCCCAGGATGGACGGCCTGCGGTACCTCTTCCTCCCACAGCACAGGATGATGAGGAAGGCACGGCGGAAGGACTTGTTGAGGAAGGCGTAGAGGATGGGGTTTAGCATGGAGTTGATGTAGCCCAGCCAGAGGCAAGCGACCCACAACTTGTCCGGCACTGTGTAGTCTATAAAGGGGTCCACCACGTTGGTGACAAAGAACGGTGCCCAGCAGAGGCAGAAGCAGCCCATGATGATGCACAGGGTCTTTGCCGCCTTTGTTTCTGTTCGCATGCGGTGGTTGCGTTGATGGTCGGCAGAGTCCGACGATGAGGTGGCGCCCGCCCTCTGCAGCATGCTGATCTGTAGGGCGTGTGCACGGGCCGTGATGTAGATCCTCTGGTAGGCCAGCACCATGAGGACCAGGGGGATGTAGAAGGCCACCACAGAGCAGGTGAGGGCGTACGGCTTGTTGACCATGAACACGCAGGATGTGGAGTTGCTGGCATCACTGTGACGCCGCTGCTCGATCTGGCAACACATTGAGAATAGTGAGGAGGTTTAATACACACGGTTTAATATAAGTGAAAGATTTTGTGGATTCTCAGACCGTAAAACGTCCTCATGTTGAACCGTGAACACTCAGCTCCACTCCGCCTTTAAAACGCCTCCAGACTTCACAACAAACCCACTAAAAATACCACTCTCCTTATCTGGGTGTGTGGAGTAAAAGGGGAACACATCTCCTGAGGGAGAGGGAGGCTCTGCACGTCACCATTAATCACAGTCGAGTCCCATCCTCGACTTTCCTCCATTATCATCTCATCTCAGCGGGAAACTACGGCTCAGGGCTGCACCATGAATAATACAGAGATCAATTGAGATTTCTGCGAGGAGGCCACGCTGCCTTTTGTTTAAAGCCGGAGTTGTTTTCATGAATGGGCTGACACAGTTTAAGCCTCAAACGTTCAGTGTTTCCATTTTCCATCTTCCACGCTGCACACAAAGAAGAACCCAGAGTGAAAATAGGACAAGAGAGACGCTGAAGAAACAGATCAGTGGAGCGACGGCATCCAGGAATTTCTTTTCATCTTATTTAACATTGTGAAAATATAAGAAGTTGTTCGACCTTTTTGTAAATTTCTCAAGAAATAATTTATTATCATTAACTATCATTAAAGAACAGACAAAGTATGATTTAGAATTTTGATCTGAAGTCTTTACTGTGTGTATAGGGACATATTCTATACACCGCTCCTGTGTTAAAAGTCCACACTCTTAAAGTTGTCATGCTATAAATTGCTGAACTCTAGAATGTAAAGTAGAGCTGAACACAAACACACATCTTAACTTGAGCACGGTGCCTGACAGAGCCGAGCTGTGGTCCAAGGAAGGAAAAGAATGGGAACCTGTGCAAATAAAGTGTCCTACGTGTGTCCTGGATTCCTGTTGCTGAAGTTTCGTGCCAGAGCTGAGTGGCTACTCAGAATATTCAACAGCTCTAATGAGACCCACAGAGAGACACTGGCACCCGCGCTAACTTTAGACTGCTGTTCTGCTGTGTGTGTGCATGTGTTAGACAGAGAGGGATGATGATGATGATGCATGTCTCTGCCAAAAGTGAGGCGGCCTGTCACCCCGTTGACAGTCGGCCCAAAAGAAACTTTCGCTGGCTTTCAGATAAATGCAGAAGGGGGCAAGCGAGGTCAGTGGAGGCAGGGGAATCTCTCTCTCTCTCTCTCTCTACACAGTCCTGCAGTAATCCGTCTTTCTCTGATCACCTGTTTCTCTCTCCTCCTCTTTCTACTTGTTCGTCTCATTCAGGGAACATCGTCTTTCTTTATCAACTGATGTCCGACTCGGATATGGTCACTCACAAACGTCCCATATCATTTTATCTTTGCTAGAGTGAAGAACGCAGACCTGATTATTTCTCAGCTCTGATTATTCTGTGACTGTAAATAAACATTTTATCTCCACTCACTGGATGAAGTTACAGTTTGATATTAGACGATTAAGGTTTAGATTTCTGCAGAATCTTTAATCTCATGTTAAAAAGACAAACCTCTGATTATCTAATTTAAACTCAATGTCCCCTACATGATCATGATGGATATCTTGCGACCCCTCGTTCTAAATCATGGCTTCACTGTGGAAACAAGTTCTCAACTGAAGAGTCACTGCTCCTCAAAGGAATGTTTCACAAGTTACAACTGATAAAATCTCTCAAGCTCAGACGACGACGAGATGACAAAACATTTTTTCGTCTGAGGCCTTTTTCTGTTTTCTCTCTGACATTAAACAACGTATTGCACAACAAAGACACTCGTTACACTGACTAACCTACTTTACATTTTGACAGTGAAATACAGAAACAGCTTGACCCCACGTCTGCAGCGTCAGCGGCTTCGTCCGTCTGTCTGACATGTTGATATTATTTCCACAGCGAACCATGAAGCATTTCTTCCGTCTTGTAAACGATGCTTCTTGGGACCGCAGCTTGTTTGTCAGTGCATGTGGACACTAATTGTTGAAAATGTTTATATACAACATGTCCTGTTCTACTTTTGTGATCCGTCTTTTTTCTTCCCTGCACGAAATTTTTTGGGGGGAAATCCTGTGGAGACGCAGAAATGCTTTTGGCTTCGACCCCAGATAAAACCATCCCAGACTCCTAAACGACTCTTTTCCCTGACTCACCAGGTGGTCGATGCCGATGCTGTTCCAGCCCTGCATGATGGGCAGGAAGGAGATGAAGGTCGGAATGACCCAGCAGCCGCCGATCATCAGAGCAACTCGCATCGGTGTCATCTTGTTTCTGTAGACCAGCGGCTGGCAGCAGATAGCATAGTACCTGAGGGAAGGCGAAGGACAGAGGATAAGTACGAGCAAAGGGAATCCAGACGTGAAGAAGAAAGAAACGTGCTCGAAACACAGGGTTAAGTTAAATTTCCTCTCCGAAAAGCGAAAAGTGCAGATTTGACAGATTCTTCTTGATGAAAGCAAAGTTGACATTACTGTAAGTAAAAGATGGTAACTCTTGCTGAGCAGCAGCGCCCCCTGCGGCCACATGTGTTGATGTCATTTCGTTGGATATTAGTGGATTAAACGTACAATATGATCTCACAGGGGATCGAACCCACTCATTTCAATCTTCCCAAACATTGAGCATCCTGAAGTTTTCTCTTTCCCTATGATCCTGTGTTGTTTTATAACAGTTCCATTAAAGCTGTGACTAAATAACTTACTTTAATATTTAAATCACAAATAAAAGCAGCCATGAAGGAATGACAGCTATTTGATTTGTGCTCTCTTCTTCTGTCACTCATCCCTCTGCTCCAGCTGCTCATTTCCATTTTTAAATCAGCTCAACAGGCTGTTTTCTGTCAGAGCATCTGCACAAATATGCAAACCACCAATAATTTAGCACAGGAATGTTTTCAGAAATCTAACGTCTTCACCTTCGCTTTCTTCTCTCTCATCGTTATTTTCATTCCTCCCTCTCTCCATCTATCTCCCACTGTTCTTTCTTTTTTTATTTTGTCTTTTGACCTGAACCTTTCACTGTAGCTGCCTCTCCATATACACATCTTTTTCAAACTGACAGTTTCCACATATTTCCACAAACCTAAGTAGAGGATCAGCATCATCAAGACTACACTAGTTGCATTTGTGTTTTATTTGTATTCATAATTATTTATCGTAAAGTTTATGGTTATCCAAAGTGTAAATTGCATGTCTTTGTCATACGGGTTTAAAAACAACAATCTTAAGAATCATTGACAAATCATTTTAATACAAAAGCTGATATATCAACATTGGGCCCAAGAATTCATATTGTTCAAGCTTTGATGAAAACCCATCTGTTACGACAGCCTCATATTTTGATCCTTCACAAGTTCTGTTACGTCTTTTATGAAGTACAGGTGTGTTTTGTCATGTGGACTGTTCATCTTTGGTCTGATTGCTGTTTTCCTTCCTTTAAACAGTTTTATAAAGACCCTTCACTGTTTCGACTCAACATTGTGCGTACACTTGACTGGTCTGCACAGAGAGGCGACCTCATCCAACACCTTTGGCATTAACTGAAATGTCAGATCCTATCGCCTGACATCAGGGTCGACCTCGTCAATGCTTGTGTGGTTGAATGAGAACAAATCTCTGCAGCCAGCGCTCAGAACCCGAGGGGACATGATGAGATCGGAATACTGGAGGTAGCAGCTCGTGTTTTTGGAATATGCTCCGTGGAATCATGTGTGAGTGTCCACAAGCTCGTTTGGAACCAGATCTGTCAACCCAGCAGATTCCTCATCTTCTCTTCCTTTTACTTGACACTCCTCCTTTCTGTATTCTTGTATGATATTATATTGTTATATATAATGTATGCTGTAGTTAAACATTATCTGCTGTTTAAAAAACAGTGAGTTAAACTAATGTTTGCTTATGATCCAGCACCAGGGAAATATCTGAAAACCATCTTTATGCGAATCTGTTTCATTTTATTTGCAGCTCATTCAGTGTCTAACACACACACGCATGCACGCACGCACGCATGCACACACACAGTCATTGCCCAGGCCAAACAAACTGCACATGCAGAGTTTTTGCTGCAGGAGGTGATTTGATGCAGCATCTGTCATTTTCCATAAAGGGATTAGTTGGCTCTCTCTCTCTCTCTCTCTCTCTCTCCCTCTGCCCTCTTCTATTGCTTCCTTCTCATTTCCTCATTTTCTACATCCTCTATTTCCCTTGCTTCCTTTTAATAGTCCATTCACTCCATCTGTTCCTTTTCTCCCTCTCTCTCGCTCCCTCTATCTCCTCTTTCACCCCTTCCCTCTCTCCCTGCTCATTCACATTATTTCTCTGTCATCCGTGCAATTCCATTCATGCAGTTTAGCGCCAGCGTCGTCTTAGCGATATCACTGTGTGACAGCATGCTGGGGATTCCTGCTGTAGTGTCTGATATCATGCACGAACGCACACACACACACATTACCACTCTGACTCTGCCACCAGTGTGTGTGTGTGCGCACTTATATATTTGTGAGGACCATTTTGAGCATAGACCTTGTTTGAGGGTTATGACTTTGTTTCAGGGTGCTAGGGAATGCATGAGTCGATGAGGGTCCAGACTCTGCACTGCTTGAGCTTTGCGTATCGGCAGGAAATCAACATTGCGGTTCCATCCCCCGATCTCTACCACACACTCTGGCCCCTTTAATGACGTCACTTCATTTCTGGAAAGTGGGAGGAAGTGGACACATGTCGTCCATCTTCATCTTTATTTACAGTCTATGTTTGGCTTGAAACCCATGAGCTATGTTCTGTGTCTCGCACTGGAGATCATAATGATGGGACTGTTCTCCCACCGTCTCCTACTCCATGTGTCAAACTCTCAAACTCATCCTTTCCCCAGCGGCGGAATTTACACATTTTCCCGACCTGTGCTTCTCAGAGTTGACTGAACGCTGCGCTCTGCCCCAGCAGCATTAAACCTAATCCAGTGTAGCCACTCTGGGTATTTTGCTGCCTCCTCTGCTATGATCCCACCTCATTACCTACATGTGCTGCGTGGCATTTCATCGCCATCACTTATTTGGAGTGGGTGTGTGTTCTGTCTGTGTGTGTGGCCTGCATGTGCTGTGGCATTAAAAAAAAAAAAAAAAGGTCAAGAGACTCTTTCTCTATTTGAATTCCCAAAATAGTCGTGTTGAAAGGTTGCAGACTGATTCTTTAAGTGTGAATGTGGCGGTCTGAATGACACCACACCCCGGAGTCTGCGACACAAGTATAGATTCTTGCACTGTGTGAATACAGACGCCCACACACACACAAAGACACATGTGATACATGAAAAGACCCAGCAGTGTACACAAAGACACACACACACACACATGTTAACCTGGGATTAGATTAGAAGCAGACGTAGCACGGTCGCATGGCAGCGTGTCCTGGCCCTGAGAACTTTAAATGGTCCCTGCTTCCTTTAGATCTACAAAACGTTTCTCTCTGTTTATTTCTGACATTTTTATTCAGACAACAACAGACAAAACCCGAAATATGCTGTCGCGCTCCTCAGGAATCGGACTTTGATGTCAGACCTGAATGAGAGTTTTTCCTGAGTGATCTTCATCTCTGCTGAACATGTACAGAACCATCGACTGTATTTAAATATGGACGACATGACAGGAAACCAAAGCGTTTATATACTGGATATTTTGTGGATCGGAGGAGGAAGAGGGGAATGTGTCGACCGTCTTTATTTGCAGCCTATGGGCAGAGCTGTCAGGGTGCGCATCTCGGTCATGGAGATATCAGCACGTTTGGATTTACAGCAGTTCGAAGGAGAATCTCTGATTCGGTCACAGCTGCGCAAAACTTGAAATGGAAAATTAAAGACACACAATTTCACCACAACAGCATCACCTCATTTTGACACACGACAGGAATACAAGATTATAACCCCACACTTCCACATTAACTGATATTGTTCTTCAGCGGTGCAAATCCCTGAACTAATTTCTAATTATAATCAAATTTCCAAAACCAATCGACATGTAATGAACACAAGAGCTTTGAAGACCCGAGGCAGCTCCTCACTTTCACCGCTTTGGAAAACAACATTTAAATTCTAAAAGTTATTTAGTTACTATGAGCAGAGCAGCAGATTTTCAATGAATAACTTTTGTTTAATTTATTCTTATTTATTAATTTAGAAAAATTAATATAAAGATCTGATACTAAATACAAGACAATGCAATTGTGAAGTCAGTCCGTCCATATTCTCTTTATCTATTCAAGGTCATTTACTGCTGTTTTCTTGTCTTAGTTTTCCTGTTGTCATGTCTCTGTCGCTGAATGTCTTTGTGTCGGAGCATCCTCTTTGTGGCAGTTCTGGTATTTTTAGTTTTAATTCATTTCCATTCAGCTCTTTTCAGCATCTTTCAGCTCAGGCTGGATGAATGAGAAGCTGTATCCCGCAGCTGTACACTTATTTTTTACATGCTCTCTTTTTCTCCTTGTTTTCTTCCCCATTTCCTCTTCTTTTCTTTCAGCATCCCTCGCTTTTATCCCTCTTTCTCTGTCGCATATGCACAAGCTTGTCTCATTTGTCAGCCAAGCTCTTAAAACAGGAATACACCACAGGCAGCAGATGTTTCTTTTTCCTGTTTTTGTCCCTGAACACGGCACAAAACAAGCATCTTGTACTTTCATCTTTTTTTTTTCAAATTCAGCTCCAGTGTTTCCAGTTTGGGTTTGTTTCAGGAGCAACAGTGACCTTAATCAGAAAGCTACGAGGAGGTCGATGAGGAAAAGGTTTTTCTCACAGAAGTCGTTTTGACACAGAAAGAAAAGAATCAGATAAATGACTGAATTCCATTTAGCTGTGGTGCTTTCAGGGTCCTGGAGTTGTGCATTGACACAGTTGAACAGAACCAACAACATGAAGCTTCTATAGATCAGAATATTATCTATATCGGGACATTACATTCATAATTAGTATGAAAAGTTAGCATAGCCTGATTTCCTCATTTCTTTATCTAATCCTTCATCTCTCTCTTTGTCCTCCTGTTTGTTTCTCTCTTCCTTCTTCTTAGTAACATCCCTTCCTTTCTTCGGTTTCTTTCTCTCAGTCTTCATCATGTTCTCTTCACTCTCTTGTCCCTTCCTCTGCTGCTCTTTGCAGCTTCTCTTGTTGTGATGGTGCAGTTTGCTGCTGAGGAATTTTGTAACTTGTCTGTAACTCATGTTTATGGCGTGCACCGCCAGTGAAGGATTTCCTCTTGAATGAAATAAACTAGACGACTATTGCATTAGCCTCTTCCCTCTCTCTCTCTCTCTTTCTCTCTTTTGTTTAAAGAGCAACTTCTGACACAAAACATATTTGCACCTTCAAATGGAAGCTGTTTTGGCCTCTGTTAGCAAACTGTCTGGGGAAATCAGAGCAGAGGCACCTTCACTTAACCTGAGGTGTAGCAGTGGAGCTGCTCACTGATCCTCATCAGTGTGTTGAGCCCTGATTTGTGCTTCAGGGGCAGAGCAGCCTCTCTCACTCGAATCAGCAGATCTGAGAATAAACTGTGGCACAAACATATAAAACCAGTGAACGGCCGGGGAGGTTCTGCCTTTGGGGGCTCAGGTGAAGCAACATATTTAGCCACAGATGTTATTTGAGATTTTTTCTGCCCAGAGATGTCAATAAAAGACAAAAAAGGTTTATCCTAATGAATATGAATAATTTAATCTTATATTTAGATTTACAAGTAACAATGGGCCTCGTGTAAGATGAACTCTCGTTCATGCCACATCCACCACTTTTCTGGTAGTTTCAGTTCTGTTACAGGTATGAACAGAATTTAGTGAGTGGTCAAGATCTGTCAAGTTAAATTAGTCTGCCAGTACTAAGATGATGTCTTTCACTAATGGATCATATATTTCATTTGTTTGGAGCAATTACAAAAATTTATAAATTACTCAAAACTAAATTATAAATGTATACATTTGCACAATTCCTTAGTGGCATGTGTCTCTTGAGCAAGGCGCATATGTAAATGACCTGTCGGTTAGCTGTCACCATTTGAAGCTAATTTCAGATCATCTCGTCATCAGAGAAGAAGTTCTGGTTCCAGGTTCTTCTAATGAAACAGGATGATGAACATGTCCAGTGTTCAATCTGCAGACATTAGTGAGTGATTCCATCTTATTCTCATCCTACAGTTTACACGAGTCAAGCTGTCAGGCGTTTCTAATACAACCGCAAACACCAAGGGATCTCCACTGGTCTGACAAACTGTAATTAGAGCTGGAGAACAAGCTTCACTAACACACTCATCACTGTAAAACACGGAGTCAAAGATACAATGGTAATGACCATAATACTTAAAATGATTTTGTATTACAGCCTAACAGCCATTAACAGTCCAGCAAATTCAGCAGAAATTGAGAACGGCTGAAGAAGCTTCATAGAGCTTTCATTTTATCTATATAACAGGGTGGAGATGGAGTCTGTGGAAGATATGGGAGTAATATGATTCACCGAGACAGGTGGGGCTTGTGGGTAATGAAGGGTGATTGTTGTATGTATAGAAGAGTGCAGATAATTGAATGAAGGGACCATTTCCTGCTTCTTTGATGCTGAACTCTGCATCTTTGAATTGTCTCATTTAAACTAAATGTATCTTGTGGTTGTGGCTCCATGAATAGCTGCATTGAAAACACATGTACTTTCTGTGCATGGGGCTGAAGCTGAATAAAAGGCTAATGGCCGAATCCATTATGTATGAATTCACTCCGCATCATTCACACGCTTCAGGGAGAATTTTTACAGAAACATTTCTTTCCTGTTTCCTCGTCATGGACACATCATTACTGAAATAGTTATAGTGACTAGAAATTCTATAAATACATGGTGCTTTCGGTTTACATATATATTTTTTCCAGATTCAAATTAGGAAATTTATGAAAGACGAACTTGAGATTTCAAAAACAGGCCCAAAACATGCTTTCAAAGCCATCGTGACCTTGACCTATGACCTCTTCAATCTAATGAGTGAATCTGTGAGTGTAAACGAACATTTGTGCCAAATTTCAAATGAGTATATCGAGGCTTTCTTAGAATAAAACGTTCACAAGGCAAAATATGGTTTTGTGAGGTCACAGTGACCTCGAACTTTGTCCTGGTGAGGTTTTTGCCAGAAATCCCGTTAAGGTTTCCCCAATAATTAACGTTTAAAGGAACATGAGGTCACTGTGACCTTTGTGCAAGTGAACATGAGAGAAGAGGACGGTGCTGATAACCAACAACATTACCTTAAAAGAGGCCTATGATGTTTTTCTCAGTGTTTCCTTCCTCTAGTGTGTTTTAGGTTTCTTGTGAATGTAAAAGTTCTGCATAGAGAAAAAACTCAGAGGTAAAGGGAGCTGAAAAACCAGCTGAGATTTGCATAATACACGTTTAACAACTAGTCTGGCACCAACAACTCCAGGTAAAGTTAGAGCGGAGGTGTTTGAGACAGAGGCTGAAAGGAGGAGCGGCAGCAATGGACAGTCTGAGGAAAGATTTTCATAACACTAATTAAAATTATTAACCTTAAGAAATGTTTTCATAGCCACTTGCAGCAACTCTTCACGTTCCAAAGAAAGTGTCTTTGTTTGAGGCTTGAAATAGTGCAGCGATGTCAAGGAACACGCGATGGTGATGAGACTGATTTTTATTCAAACCTATTTCAAACTGTGTATTGTCAGGCTGAGGTGACGATTAATCCAGTCGTCCGCAAGATAAGATTTCTAATGTCTGGTCTGATAAATTCCCATCGCCGTCAACACACAGCTGATAATAACAGAGAGGAACAGAAATATGATCACAGAAGTGTCAGACTGTTTGTTCACAGTCTCTGCACATTCTGAAAAAGCTTCTGTTACCAAACGTCTCTACAACCACAGCATATCTGCCTTAAGCTTTAAGCTTCACAAACTCTGACATATGATCCCAACTGAAAATGATCTGCCTTCGAAAAGCCTGAGTCACGTTCAGATGTACATTATCATTTAACGTCCTGGAACACTGAGCATCACAGATCCACAGGAAACATTATCTCCTTTCAAATGCTCAACTCTCCACCATGATGTAAGATGGAAACCTGACCTGAGTGTTAACGACCTCCACGTTCTTTTCCTCCGTGTCAATCACAGAACTTAAAACTCTCTGACATCTTCTGATTTTATAAATCAAAATACTACTTGTTTCATATCATCTCTGTATTTATGAGCTTTTATATAATGTATAGAAATGTATAGTTTATATTCACCTATAAGAATATATTTTATAAATGTACTGTACCTTGTTAATTCCTTTATTTAAATTCCAACAGCCTCAATAGATTTTTAGATTTTTTTTTCTTGTAGCAACATATTGTCTTATTATTGTCTTTAGTTTGAAGAGTGATATATAAATAAAATGTATTATTATTATTATTATTATTATCATAAGACACTAATTAGCCAACTATTAAATTACAACATATATATGATATATAAACTCTGCTTTGTTATCTTTCTCTCTGAATCGTCTGACACGTTGATGTCATCGGGCTGAAATTTCTCAGGTGCTGGAAATGTCTTTTTCTTTTCCTGCTGTTTTCAGAGGCAATAAGAAGAATTAATCCCGTCTATATCCTCACTCAATCCGTGCTTTCAGTCTGGAAATCCTCTGACGGGAGTTAATATCGAAGCTGTTGAAATGAAGACATATTAAATTCTCTCCACTCACCCACCTCACAATAGACTCAGACTAATCTCTCTGACCTGGACCAACTTTCTCTGATGGGGGAAAGTTGAGGGAACTAATTTTGTCTTTTACAGGAGTGTGATAATAAAATATTAAAGGTAAAAAAGTTAGTTTTAACATAGAAAACTACAACTAAATACAAGATTTGGCAAAATACACTTATTGTTTTTATTTTATTTTTTTGTGAAATGGGTGAACGGACACTATGAGCCTTGATCTTTATGTTCTGACCTCAAACCTGAAATAATTCGTCCACCAAGCTGCTCAGTAATTCTGATTCAATCACCATATCACATCCTCAGCCCATTAAAAGACTGACATCACTGTGTCGTATACAAAGAGGTTCCACTCATGTCAAGGCCTCTTTTCTGCACATGAGCAGTATTTCATGTCGCTGTGTCTCTGAGCTGCTGTCGGTTATGAACAGAGCTTTGGGAGTGACGGATGGTTTTTGTCTTTATTTTCCTTCACACCGTTTACGTCTATTTCTTCTTTTTTTTAAAAATCTTTTTTACTATTTGCATACACACAAAATGCTTTTTATAATTGTGCAAAAAATGTCATTAAACTTTTGAAAGAATAACATTTTAACAACTCTTCATTTAAATGTCTTATATATATTAACGTTTCCAACATTATTCAAACCCAGAGAAATCCACAATTTTATTCCATGCTGTTTGTGTTTTGGGGGGAATTTATTGACACTGTTGATGGTTTTACAACAGACAAAGGGAGAGCTGTGTTTCTTCTTTTATCTTCAATTAGATGCTGGAGTCATGTGTAATTTAACTTTTAAAAAGATGGTGCTCTACATTCTGAGCCTTTCCCTACACAAAACAACTCATTGTTAGTTCAATCAGCAGCAGAGCCATCAAACACACACACACACACACACACACACAGACACTGTCAACATATCAAATATGACAGTCTTTTTTTTTAAAGAGGTGATTTCACACAATATGAGTCATTGAAAAGAGTAGAAACAAACTGTCACACTCACACAAACCAGCAGATAACAACACACAGATGACAAAAACAACTTTTCGAGTAAATAAACTGAGTGTTCCACAACATGGATAAAGACTCTACCTGTCCAGGGCGATGCAGCACAGGTGCAGGATGGACGCCGTGGTCAGCAGGACGTCCAGCGACGTCCGGACCAGACAGAAAGTCTCGCCGTAGATCCAGTGCTGGTGGACGAGCTCGATGGCGCCGAACGGCATCACCAGCACCGACACGAGCAAGTCAGCAAACGCCAGAGACACGATGAAGTAATTGGTCTTGATTTTCCTGATGAGGAGAGGACGAGAAACATTTGATCACAGAAATACAGTTCAGACAAAGTGAACGTTTTCTTTAAAGTGCTTTTATAAGCAGCGCTTCTCTATCACAAAGAATTCAAACAATGTTGGCACAACCCTCAGGAGGGTCTGGGGTTCAGTATCTTGCCCAAGATTTGCAAACAGGAGCAGCCGTCCATCGTGTGTTATTTGGGCTGGATGACAGAGTTGGCCAAATCTGGGTAAAAGCAATTTTGCTTGTGGGATGATGCAACAATTGATGAAGGTCTAATTCTAAAGGAATCAAAATGTTCCTTCGTTATGGCCGAAAGGGTTGAGGTTTTTTTCCCAGTTTGGTGAAGAAGAACTCGAACGTCGATCTGTTGTACCTCACTAATTCTGTTCTGACTGAATGAGAGTAAATCCTTGAAGTCGGGTTAATAAATCTTGTGGAAAGATTTTCCAGCTCCTGTACTAGTTCACTGCCAAACTCGCCGAAACTGGGAAAGTGTTGGAAGAACATTTGTATCAACACATTGAAGTTCAAACAACGATCCAAGAAAAAAGTTCAAGATTCTCAGCAAAGAGGTGAGAAGAAGAGCGATGAAATGGAATAAGAAAGATAAACATTCATCTTTCACTGGAGGTTGAAGACAGGGAGAGATGTAGAGAAGTGAAAGTGAAATAAAAGTCTTCAAACACTCGACTCTTCACAAACCTGGAGGTAAAACCACAGAGAGACAGAGATGAAGGTTTTCATTCTGCAAATAGGTAAAACATCAGGATATGAAAGAGACTCAGGATTGAATCCAGAGTCTCTGTGACAAAAGGTGATCGTCTTTATCTCTTGAAAACAGGCGAGGGTCTCGCTGTTCCTGCAGCAGGATTATTAAAAAAGACAAAGTTTACAACAAATTAATTTTGTTCTTTCATCTCCTGCAGAGTTTTTTGCAGCAGGAACGTTCGGAGCGCTTGGTCCATACGTCAAAGAAGAAAACCTGTAGTTATTAGATTTTCTTTGTATTCTTTACTATGTGTTACAGACAGTTGCATCACATTATTTCACTGCGTCTCATCATTTTTTAACTCCACTGAGGAGGTGATGTTTCCTCCTCTGTTAGTTTGTTGGTTGGTTGGATTGAATTAAAGCACGATTACTCAAAAACTACTGGACGGATCACCGCACAACGTTTTCTGGACATTTTCCCAGATTTCCCAGGGAAGAATAAATGGATTTCACTTATGAGTGTGTGTAACCTAAAGGTCCAGTGTTTGAGATTTACTTGAAAGGGATCTATTGAGTATAAAATAATCCTAGTGATGTTTTCACTACTGTAGAATCTATTTGCTAACCTGGAGAGGGCAAAGTTTATGAGCAACACTCCAGCCAGCCACAAGGGGGCAATCCAGATGTTTTGGCTTCACTTTTTGGAATCTGTCAGGCCGTCCAACATAAACACTAACAATATACAATTAAATAAACCTGTATAATTCCTACGCATTTAATAGGAAGATCAGATGTTTTAAAGGAATTTTCTGTGAAAACTTTATTGGAAAGTTTACTAACAACATATTTGCATCTTGATAAATGTGTAAATAACTGTTCCTCCTGCAAATATGAGCACTACTTATCATTAAAGATAATAATCCAGTTCTTAACTACATTTCAAACAGAATCAATCAGTTGTGTATATAAGTGTGACTTCTGGGAGTAGGGTGGTTTGGTGTGAGTGAGACTGAACCGAGACACAAAGTCGCAGCTGCTGTGTGAGCGAGTGCAGCGTGTTGTTAGTGCAGTGAGTCAGCTGACCGGTGAATTCATCAGTCAGTCAGTCAGTCAGTCAGTCAGGCCGGCAAATTAAAGACGGAACCCTGACAGGTCAGAGCTGCATCATGGGAGTGATGTGGTTTCGGACGAAAGAACCCCCAGACCAGCCAACCTGCTCGCCGGTGAGAGAGCCGGTCGGTCAGCCGGCCTGTCCCCCCCCCCGCTCGCTGCTATAAATAGCCTCAGTAGAGGGGATGGCCGGGAGCGTTTTCCATCTGCCTGTCACTAACCCAAACAGCCCCTTAAAAACAGACTGGGAACAGCCAGCTGTCTGTTCAGCTGCTGCATGTGGGGCACACGTTCATCACACTGAACACACACAGAGGCATGTTCACACATCTGAAACACACATGATCGACAAATACTGTTGTCACACACAATCTGTAGAGGAGTTTACACATTATTGTACACACACACACACACACACACACACACACACACACACACACACACACACACACACACACACACACTCACACACACAGAGACACACACACAGTCAGTTGCGTTGGCTATAACTCAGAACAGTTTAGAAACCATTAACGTGCCCAGAAGCAACAGTGTCGTGTTCAGTTAGGTTGACATATTGTGTTTGGCTTAAAGTGCTGAGAATAAATTGACTTTATTAAAAAGGATTGCGTTGCTGTGTGCGGTTGGTGTAACACACACACACACACACACACACACAGATACACACAAACGCACACAAGCATACGTCTTCTGTATAATGTGGAGGGAAGAAGTGAGCGTGCTCAACTCAGTAAAAGGGCAAAGGAGGAGAAAATGGATTCAAACACAAGATATGGAGTGAAGCTCTGATTTAAATACAGATGCATCTTTTCATTCTCACAACGAAACAGTAAACTGACTTTATTACACATCGGGTGAGTTGGATGACTGAAAATGAACATATTATTATTCTTTATGATGTTAAATACTGTGAGCAAAGCTAATTCAATGATGCATCTTGTTGATGTTGAACGTCGTCTTACTCCTGAAAATTAAATGTCAAAGTGACAACACGTGTAAATCTAATGAACCAAAGTGAGTCAGTAACTTCCACAGTTGCTGCCGTGGCACCATCGATTTAAATCAGTGCGACTGCTTATAGAGCTGCACAGTGTCCAGTATAAACAGCACAGACTGTGTGGCAGAGTGTGTGTCTGTGTGTGTGTGTGTGTGTTTCATGTTCACACACTCTGCACATCACATTGAGGGAAACATGGTTGGTATCAGTGGTGATGTTTGTGTGGTGGTAATTGATGAGTGGTTTAGCACCATCTGAAACAGCTACTGCTGGTGTCAACTCCCTACGGATAACTGTGTGTGTGTGTGTGTGTGTGTGTGTGTGTGTGTGTGTGTGTGTGTGTGACTTGTAGCCTGAAGACTAAAGGTGTAGTTCCCCTCAAAACAGCAGATTTTCACAGCTTGACTGAATCTTAATAGTTATCTAGCTGCAACATACTCTCTAAACCAACTCCATTGACGTGTGTTTGAGTCATTTATGTTCAACGTTTGATAATGAAACAGATGGAGAATGTAAATTAAAGCATAAAAGAGCCTCTGGACTCCTCTTAAAACTAAACAGAACTTCTTTCGGATTCCTTTCAATTCCTCTCTGTCTTAAAAAACGGAATCGTTTAGCTTTAGGATCAAGTTTTTACTCTGCCACCGCTCCTTGAGCTTCTCCAGATACTTTATGACTCACCAGCTACTTCACAGAAATTACAACCCGTGGCTATAACTACATACTGCACATAAACGGGTGACACTCACTGCAAAGACAAAAACAATGAAAACCTTCTTCTCCACATTTCTATGCTACACAGACGACACACACCTATAAACGTAATTCCCACCACATGATCCCATGGTCTCAGCCTGTCGCTCAAACACACAATCATGCATGAAGGAACATCACCTTCTTATGAACCTCTCAGAGTCTGAGCTTTTGGTCACCGTGGCCAATCAATCACTAAGATGCAATATCAACCTCTAAAATAAGCAACTGAAAAGCTGGTGAAATAAAGTGTTTGCCAACACTGGATGGTTTTGTTGGTTGTTGATGATGTGTTCAGTGTTCCGCGTTATTTTTGTCAGGCACGCCGTCACCCTGGGGGACACTCCCACTGAGCAGGTGCGTGTCTGTCTAGTTTTCTGGTTGACAGTTTGTGTATCTTTGCCTTTTTGAGTTGTGGATTTATGCATCCGGAAAATAAAGACAATGGACATCTGTGTGTGTGTGTGTGTGTGTGTGTGTGTGTGTGTGTGTGTTTTCCCAGTGGACTTTCAGACAATGATGAAGGGAGAAACAAAGATGGCGTGTCATTGTTTTCTCTTGAGGGAGGTGAGATTTCGCAGCCTTGACTTTGTCACTCATCAGTCTCTTTTAACACACACATGCATGCACACACACTCTGCACGTACAAAAATATACACGATGAAATCTCACTTCCGTTACTGTAATTCTCACTTATAAACACACACCTTCCTACATAACTTTCTCTTTTGCGTGCACTGAACCTCAACACGCGCACACACACACACACACACAGACGTCTGAAGTCCGAGCTCTCAGGTGTCATGAGACAGAAACAACCCAAAGACAAAGAGAGAGAGGAAAAAGAGAAAGAAAAGGGCAGGAGGAGAAGAAGAAGAATGAATCATTGCTGTGACACTGACTCCCACATGAGCAGCCGTCCTCAGAATGACCCACCAGCTCTGTGTTGGTCATGAATCTCACAGATCAAGGATAAATGGCCTTTTCTCTTCTTATTAGGATATCAGCGTTATGACACTCGTTCTTTTTCAGCAGCGTTCTCACATGTGGTCATGTGTCCGGTGACATGAGGATCCACTTTTAGAAGCAGTTAATGCGTTTCTTAACTCTGACTCTTGCTCTACTTCTCTTACACTGGGGCTGGGTCTGGATCAAACTGAACCACGGTACTTTTTCTGATCGTTCACAGGAAAAGACAGCATTAAATAATAATAATGATAATAAACATAACATTCTGTGATATTTGAATTGTCTAAGACCAAAGGGAACATTTGAAGCTAAAAGGAAAGAGGGCTCTGTCTCACCTGAGTTGTCTGTCCTTGCAGACGGCCGTCATGACCAGCAGGTTTCCCAGGATGCTCATCAGCATGACCAGAGACAGGAAGCAGATCAGAGCCATCCGCTTTGGCATGCTGTCGCTATGGAGACGCCAAAAAGAGAGAACAGCAACATGATGACACCAGAAAAGATCAGCAGATTTGAGTTACAGACTTTTCACGAGCATTTTAAGAAAAGAAAAAAGAAGTTTTTATGTAAAAATGAATCTCTCTCTCTTCTCACTTTGTCATGTGCGGCTGTGTCAGCGAAAATTAATCCATTCTGACTTAATTGCTTGACCCACTTTTCCAAATTATGGTATCGGTAGACTCATCGGCAGTAAAACTTTTAATGAACGAGAACTCCCCCCGGGGAAAGTGGGTTTTTGCATGTGAGTTTTTGTTAATCATCTAAGTGTCAGGTCTGATATTTCATGTCATTATGAACATACAGTTCTGGGCTGCTATTAGTGTGACGATAAACACAAGTTCAGAGAGTTATCTGAACATTCGAAGACCTTCAGGTGCCAGTGGGAATTATTTATCACGTCCAGATCCAAGGAAAGAACTCTCCATCAGAGCAGCCAGCCAAGCAGAAAAACTCAATTTAAAATCAGCAAGATGAACATGATAGAGGCTGTAAAGAGAGAAAGACGCAGTAGCTGCGACATAATACTTTGTGTAATGTGATGATGATGATGTTTATCTGAGCAAGAACGATTCTCTACCGACTCCCAGAAGAAAAAGTTTTGATTCTACCAGAGCAATTTAAAATGTCAAAGTAAAGTTGATTTGCAGAAAACATATTGAAGAACATTTCATCTTCTTGTGATAAAGTTGTACTGGTCACATCATGTCTGTCAATTTATCTTTCTTTTGGCTAAATGAAAAAATTGAATTCTGAATTCACTTGTTTATTATTATAAATGTTTCTCTTCTAAAGTTGAGGTTCGTTCTGAATACAACAGGTTTTATAACGTTTCAGATTCATCTGCAATCCAAATGTTGTGTGGACTAATGTTTGTTTCTTGCCAACTGCCAATACGATCAAATATTCCTAAAATAAGAAGATGAATGGTTGTAGAGGGAGTTCGAACGATTTCCATTTTACTGTCCTCGAGCTCTTTGTCCGATGTGAAGAAAAGAGCAGAAAGTCTTCTCCTCCAAGCTGCTGTGTTTAAAAAAAGCTGAATGTAAGGTGCTTACTCAGGATCCACAAGCATGGGGGATGAATAATACTATATATTTTATGGTACAAAACTGCAAACTTGCATTTTCACCCCCCGATACATTTAACCTTGGCATGAGTTCAGCGTCTGGAGGTGGCGGAGAGTGGAGTGAATCGAAGCCCTGGGAGTGAACTGTGTGGAGTCTCTGAAAATGACTTGTTTAATCTCACACTTGTTTTGACATTGGCGGAGCAACACAGTCATTCTCCGGAGGTTTGTGGTCTCTCGCACTCGAAGGCTTCACGGGGAGGAAGGAGCACGAGAGAGACGCACCATCACCTCCTTCGTAAAACAGCTCCATTACACCAGCATCATTTTATTTCTTTGTTCTCGTGTCTTTGTCCTGCAAGTTTGGTGCCAATTTATTTTTGTTTTTTTATGTTCAGTCCACAGTATCAGTACTATGCTAAAACAGGCTTCTGGGCTCGGCTGCTGGAGTCAGGAGTCACGTCTCGTCCCCGTCTGCCAAATGATTTTACTCTCACCATCAAAGGAGGAGTGATAGTGTGCAAATGAGGCTTGTTCTTTGATCATCAGTGCCAACACCCTAATCAGATCAAATGGGAACGCTGACAGATTCTCCACAGAAACATCATTTGAAAAAAAACAAGATGGAAGGAGCTTCTTTCATCTGGAATTTGTCGACTACACAGTCTGACCTTTCCCCTAAATGAGACATTAATATGCACGTTTTAGTAATTTAACACAGCTGCGGCCACGACAGGCAGCGGACAACTTTACTCTTTTGTGCAAGAGCAAGAGCCTCATTTTGGATTCAACAGTGAATCAGACACTGGAGACTTTCCCTCTATAGACTTTCAAAACGCACAATTACCGATCATTACTCGTCTGTCAACCTCGGATTCTCAAGCTGCCGCCATCTGCTTCCTAATGCTTAAGGAACAATCCACTTTTTTTTATGTAAGATTTATAAGGCTCCCAGCTCTTATTCGGTAGCTTTGTTCCTTGAGAGAGCTGCAGAGAAGAACTCATCCTCTACTGAACTTTTGATACTCACTTGCATTAGTGAGTTCTCTCACTTGACCCTGAAATCTTACAGCCACACCTTCCAAATACAGTTACATCTAGCTGACGCATGTTTGGTTCCTACTTGTAGCCTATCAACATGTTTTCACCTCCATTTTGAAATGTTGTTAATGATGGTTAAATATGAAGGTATAAGAGGAGATAACTCTGACTTTAATTTTCTCAAAAATTCTGCAGTAAAATCCTTGGACACTGGACATACAGTCAGGGAAGGTCACAAAGAGTGAGGTGAAATATCTGTGTCACCCGTGTGGCAAAATACACTGACATGTAATATGTCAGCATTTGCCGTAATTTCTCTTCATTGTCTATATTACATTCCCCATGTATCACTCCATGTGTTGTACATTGATTTTCCAGATGTAAGCTGAACTCTTTCTGCACAATATCACTTGCTCTTATATCTTACTCTTAACATCGGTGCACATGTGGAAAACAGAGAGAGCCAGAGTTAAAGGAAAGAACTGAGAGAAACAGACAACTTGTAAATTTGCTGAGATCTGATACACCTGAACTTTGACCTGCAGCTAAGCTGAACTTCTGGTCTGCAATCAGCGAGAAGCAGCCTCAATTAGGCCTCTCAGGGCTGGATGAGGGGCGACTGGGAAAATACCTTCACCAGACGAGAAGGTTTAATTCTGCAATCCGTCACTGGACCACTGGTTTCTGCTTTTGCTTCCCATGAAGACAAAATGTTTTTCTTCAAGAGTTTAATAAAATCTTGGCCTCGATTCAACACTTTACCTGAATCACCTTTGATGCAGAGGACGATAAGGCTTAATCTTCTAAAAATATATGTGACAGGGAAGTGAAAATGCAGATGACAATCACCTCAGAATACCCTCTGCATCTGAGCCGTCGCAGCTATTTACAGCCTTTAGAATGGCTCCATATCGGGTGGCTGTTGAAAGTAGCACTGATTGGATCTAAAGAGCCATGATGACTTGCAGTCACAAGCCTCAGTGGTCCGGACCAGCATCCTGACAGAGTTGATGCAGCAGTCGGACGGCTCTCTGTGGGAGAAGTCAAATGTGCGACACTTGAGTGACTCAGCTGATTGCACAGAAGCTGTCGCACTGGAGGCCTCCGCAAACACACAGCAAAGTTACCTGCAAAGTTTGAAACTCTTCAACCTCCATCTTTTTGAAGTTGTCTTTAATTTTCTAATTTGCAGCACACTAATATGTTTATTCAGTTTCATTTGATAGGGACGATATATAATGACAAAGGTTAATCGACATCAGTTTATAATATAAGATGCAAACATTGGTTTACAGTGAGAATGGAATTTACCCTCCGAGTGGTGCCTGCTGCACCACAGTGTTATGAGAAGGCGAGAACTCTTTGCACCAGAGGCGCAGTGTAAAAGTGAATCGTTGTTTAAGTCCCGCTGAAGCCTGATAATCAGTCTGGATTCTCATTCTGTCTCATGCTAGTGTGGAGGGACAGTTTTATTTGGCTCTGAGGGACACACATGGATCAAAAACCCACTAACACCCACAAACGAACGTCTCGTCTGCAATGGGAATGGATCCCATCAACATTCAGTCTCAGGTCAAACGAGACGGCAATTACAGCGAGCTTCTCAGTTTTTCGTTCCCTACTTTGAACATTGGTCCTGTTAATGGGAAAGGAGTCAATGCTCTTTTTAATGGGTTCACCCCTGTTTACAAAAAAGTAATAAGTAAGTAATCTCTAAACCAAATTTCTGTAGTGGAGGTCATAAACTCATTGATCTCACCCCCAAACCCCCTTTTGTCCATCCTCCCTCAACCAGTTCCTCCAATTCTTCTATCAGATCTTATGGGTAAACATCTTATCAACAGGGAGGGCATCCAACCTCACATTGTTTCTTATAAAAATAGAAAAAAACATTGTGGCTGGTGCTGAAGGCCTCGGTGGGAATCCTTTATTACAAACAATGGCGATCTGAACCCTGGCGTTCCCTCTCAGCAGGCAAAGACAAGCCTGCTATTATGCGACTGGTAGAAGAAGCGATGGGTGCCGTCCAAACTGGTGTCACACCGGCGTCATAAACACGGGAAAACATGTCGCAGAAGGGGCCTGGGTCATGACAGATTCCTCCCGCTGGGACCACGAGGGAGAGAAAGCTGCGACCAAACAAAACAGAACAATTATGCTTGAAAGCCTGGTAGTAAAACTAAATTAGGAAACCAGACAGTTCATTCAGCTGGAAGAATGTTGACAAAGGACAATAAATCAATGCATTATAAAAAGCGGCCTTGTTGATAAAATGTTTTCAGTGGCAACAAGACGGAAAATGAGCTTTCCTCCAATCTGAGGACATTTTATCAACCTTGTATGAAATAGGATCCCCTGTAATTTTTATTTTTTGACACTTCAATAAACATCTTATCGCAACTCTATCCACGTAAAACCTCTGGATTTCATTTTCCTCATGACCAGGACAGAAAAATAAACTTTCAGAAACCACCATGGCAACCGTTCAACGTGACACCTGCAGGTAATCTCTTCAAATAAACCTTAAACCAAAAATACCTCCCAGACTGCAGGATCAATAAATCAAACATCACTTTATAACCCTGTTACAGTTCGAACTTTAAATCACACACCTCTCTACTTGTCAGTCAAGTTTTGACGTGGTGTTTTGGTCTCAGTGACGGATCTCTAAACTGTTGCTCTGTGATTTGCCTGTTTAAGTGAGCTGTGTTTTTTCAGTCCCGGCAGATTATTTTCTTTAAGCAAACGACTGCGGCTGCTTTTTGCCTCTGAACGGCAGGTTTTCTGTTTCTGCACCGAGCTCACGGGTCAAACTGGAGTTTAGGTCCAATTAGACTCTGTTAT